ACCGGTTTGGCTCAATGGATAGAGCGTTGGCTTGGGGACTGAAGGGTCCCGGCTTCGATTCCGGTCAGGGGCATGTACCTTGGTTGCGAGCATATCCCCAGTAAGGGGTGTGCAAGAGGCAGCTGATCGATGACTCTCTCTCATCGATGTTTCTGACTCTCTACCTCTCTCCCTTCCTCTCTGTACAAAATCAATAAAATATATTTTAAAACAATAAATATCAAGAGAAAATAATAATAATAATTTTAACTATCCCATCTGAAACATTGTCTTAACAGTCACTAACAAAAGACATCATTAAATATGGATGCATGTTTCTTAACTTTTTAAAAGAAAAAAAGTTATACATACTTTCAATACTTTATATATCTGTTATGTAAAAAATTCAAAAATGAAAAGAACAATCTTAGAGCTCCTTCTAGGACCTGCATATCGTTGCCAAACAACTGAATAATCAGATATAGTTTATATGAAAATTGAGGCAACTTGTATATGTAACCATTTGAAAACTTTCCAGTCTCTACTTGTGTATGTGTATATAAGCTTGACCGTGAGTATACATATGCAAACATATACAATCTTTTGTTTTTAATCCTTACCCAAGGATATGTTTTTATTAATTTGAGAGAGAATAAGAGGGAGGGAGGGGGAGAGGGAGGAAGAGAGGGAAGGAAAGGGGGAGGAGGAGGGAAAGAGGGAAGGGGAGAGGAGAAGGGGGGAGGGGGCGGGGAGACAGGGAGAGACCAGAAACCTGGGTATGTGCCCTGACCAGGAATTGAACCAACAACCTTTTGGAGTACTGGATGATGCTCCAACAAACTGAGCCACCCAGCTAGGGCTACATATACAATCATTTACATCTGTGGAAACAATTAAGATAATTCATATAGCTCTGACTGGTTTGGCTCAGTGGACAGAGCGTAGGCCTGCGGACTCAGGGGTCCCAGGTTCAATTCTGGTCAAGGGCATGTACTTTGGTTGCAGGCACATCCCCGGTGGGGGGTGTGCAGGAGACAGCTGATTGATGTTTCTCTCTCATTGAGGTTTCTAACTCTCTTTCCCTCAGCCTTCCTCTCTGTAAAAAAAAAATCAATAAAATATTTTTAAAAAAAGATAATTCATATAAAAGGAAAACATTTTTTACTTTATTAAAGTGATTCACTGAAGGATATACTATGTTTTATTAATAACACAGGAATCATAAACAAGGTATTTTTTTTTCTTGTTTGATGGCTATGTAAAAATATATCTGCTTTAAGAAATATTAGTCTCATTAGTCATTTATAGTAACACACAACTTTTGCCAGGCAAATATGAAAAGACTAAAAACATTTGAACTTATACAGTCATAGCTTATAAGGATATAGAAGGCAAAAACAAAAGAGAATTTATTCTGAGTCTACCCTGGAATTCTTAATGTCTGACTCTTGCAGAATGAATCAAAAACTTCAGTTTAGTCAAATATGCATGTGACTTCATGTGCCTCACACATAATAGCAGCACAAACAAATAGGAGGCACAATCAAATCTAAAAATTTACTACACTGGGAATGGAAATCTGCACTATTAAAGGGTAAAGATGAACATATAAATTGTTATATGAGAGGAAAAGTGAGGAATGAAAATCCAATGCAGTAGAGGAAGTAGATTAGCAAATGGTTAAGCACTTTTCAAATTGCTCGGTGTTAAAACCATTATTACTGAATTCAAATCTCAATATTCAATCAGGATATGAAACTGTTAACCATCACACCCTAAATATTGCTTAATAAAGTAAACACAAACTGTCAATCTTATTGGATGTGCACTTCTTAGAAATTTATTTCACCTTATGAACAGAAACAGTTCACGTAACAGCTGTTGTAAAGGCATGGATTTTGAGAGCCTCTCATCAACGAAGAACTAAATTTTAAGAACTGGAAGTAAATTTAGGATGTCACTTTTAACCCAAACTCTATCCCAAACTAGGAAACATTTAGCAAAGATTTATTATACTAGTATATTCAAGACTTACTATTGATTGCTGGGGGTGACACAATAAATCTAAAACCTGATACTTTCCCTCAGGGAATCTATAGAATGTCCCAGAGGAATTCTAGGCTGAGAAACAGAATATTAGACTGTAATAAATATAATGTAAAATCCTAAGAACAAAGAGGCTTCAGGGAATGGTTAAGTGATATATAAGTTAGGCCTGGAACAAAGGGTCGAATCTAGACAGTTGGCAATGAAGTAAAGAATATTTCAAGCAGTGAGGATAGAATAAACTCTGATTCTCTATACCTGTGGTTGGCAAATGCGGATGGTGAGCCACATGTGGCTCTTTGGCCCCTTGAGTGTGGCTCTTCCACAAAATACCACAGCCTGGGAGAGTCTATTTTGAAGAAGTGGCGTTAGAAGTTTAGGTTTAAAAAATTTGGCTCTCAAAAGAAATTTCAATTGTTGTACTGTTGATATTTGGCTCTGTTGACTGAGTTTGCCAACCACTGCCTATACAAATACACCCATTTCCAACTACTCTTCCTTTAGTGGTACATATTCTGCTTTTTCCATGCCAGGTTTCCTGGTGTTCCTTCACATTTAGGGCATGTTCTTCAAATAGGTATTGCCTTCTCAGGGTCATTGCATCTCCTGCTTCTTCAGCTTGGAATGATCTTTCCCAAGGTATCTCTGTAAGCGGACTTCCTTACCTCTTTCAAGTCTTTCCCCATATGTCATCTTCTTAGTGAGAACTTACCTGCCCAACCTATTATATTTATTTTCTTTTTAAATAGTTTATTTGATTTTTAGAGAGAGAAGGAAGAAGAGAGAAACATCGATTGACTGCCTCCTGCACGCCATCTCCTGGGGATTTAGCCTACAACCTGGGCTTGTGCCCTGCCCAGGAATTGAACCAGTGATCACTAGATTCTTCTTTTTACTAGTACACCTCTCACCCCCCTGACCACAAATGACCCTGTCATTTATCCAATGGCCAAAACTGACATCAGAGCTGCCATGCTGCCAGAACCTCCTCTTCCCACATTAACCTTCACTGCTACCAACTTGGTTAAAAGTAAAACATATTCTATTCCTATTGGTAGACAAGAGAAAGAGGTATTCCTGCATTTCCAGATAAAATTCATTTTTCTGTAGATGGTTAAATTAAAAACTGCAAGAACGGTTACACTGATATTGTGGATTAGATATGAAACCTATTTTTTTTTCTTTTCTTTTTTTTAAAATATATTTTATTGATTTTGTACAGAGAGGAAGGGAGAGATATAGAAAGCTAGAAATATCGATGAGAGAGAGTCACCGATCAGCTGCCTCTTGCACACCCCCTACTGGGGATATGCCCGCAACCAAGGTACATGCCCTTGACCGGAATCGAACCCGGGTCCCTTCAGTCCCCAAGCCGACGCTCTGTCCATTGAGCCAAACCGGTCTTGGCTGAAACCTATTTTTAATATTGCTTAGTTACTAAGTGTAGACATGGAAAAACAAATGTTTGGATTATCTTTCATCACTGGAACATACTTTTTTATACTGCGAATGAATGACACAAGCAAAATGGTTGAGAGAAGTTTCTTCAATAAAGTCTAGTATTATATTTTAGGCAAATGGGTAACATTGTCAAGTTAATGGCATGTTTTTTAAACCCAGAAGGATCAACTAGAATTTTATCCTGGATTAAGGAATGATGTAGAATTCTTAAACAAATCATTAGCATTTAGGTTGCATTCTACTCAAGCCAAACAGTAGTAGAAAATATTCTTTATCGCTAGCAACAGCAAAACTACTTAAGGAAATAAGGAATAAGCTCAAGATTTCTCACTTCAACTAACACCTCCACAGACTGCATTATCATTTTAGGCAAAGTGACATTTTCACATTTAATTTTTAATGGCAGGAATGATTTCTATCTGGGACTAACCTGCATTCAAGTGTGAGCCTTGACCCAATTTAAATATTAAACTGAAGGTTCATTTCTGGCTATAAGCAAAAAGCCCCAATACTGCACAATATCTTTATCTTCACATAAACCATACCGATGAATGCCGAACAGCGGATTTTGCCTTCAGACAGGCGCACTGAACCTTCACTTAAATCGTTACTAAATGACTTATCCTCCCTACCTTAAGATCTCCTGCATTTTTAAAACAATATTTACACTTCTAAAAGAGTTTTGCAAATATTACTCTTCTTCATAAGTGGAAGAAAAACTACAAATTAGGGCAAATTCTCTTACCAAACCAGCAGCTGAAATCCTAACTTTCAAGTATAGAATCGTAGTTCTGGCCGGTCAATCACAAACGTCAATAATAATTCATTTAATAATAATAATCAAACAATGTACAGCCACTAGGAGAAAAGCCCGATAAAAAATGTTAGTTCCTCTCTTATCTTTTTCTTTAATAAAAGAGTCACAGGAAACTAGGCAGTGGACCACGTATCACAGCACACAGGAAAGAGAGAGAGACTGTGCACAAAGCGTGCGGTTGTCAGAGCGCAGGAAGCCGAAGTTCTGCGCGATGAGAGGGTTTGGAGAAACACAGGAGCCCATCTGCCAGGGGGAGAGAGAGGTCCACCAGGAAGGGCTGGGAGTCAGGGAGGTGGGGCTGCAGACCAGCCAGCTCCGCGGGCGTCCTCGGAGGCTCGGCCAGGGCACGGGTGTCAGGAGGGCAGGGGCGCAGGTGGGCTGGCGGGCGCAGGTGGGCTGCAGCCCGGACCCGCGGGGGCCCGCACCCGCACCGGGAAGCCTCCCGGGGCCTCGCCCGTGCCTCCAGGAACCACTCCGGCAACAGACGGGCGGGAGGAGCCACCTAGGCAGAGCCACGTCGGAGGAAGGGCGCGCGCGGGAGGTGGGCACCGGCTCACACCCACCCGCAGGCTGACAACCCGGGAGGTGGGGGTTGCCAGGACGCGCGAAGGGCCGCGCGTGCCCGAGGGAGTCGCCCTGAGGGCGCTGCCTGCAGCCCACAACTCCCCCTCGCCCGCATCGGCGGCGGGAGACTCACGTAAGGCTGGTAGAACTTGGAGAGCCGCGGCTTCCCGTGGTTGTTGAAGATGAGGATCGCCTTGATCATGGCTGGGCCGGGCAGACCGGGTGGGCGCTGGGGGCCGGGGCGGGGGCGGGCGCGCGAGCCTCGCCTCGGGATCTCGCCGGCGATCCTTCCCAACCCGCCCCCTCTCGCGCACGCGCGCCCCCCCCCAGCCGCGGGGCGGGGCCTGAGTGGGAGGGGCGGGGCCTGGGCGGGGCCGACGCGGAAGGGAAGCGGAAACACTCCAGGCCACGCCCACTGGCCCGAAAGGCTCCTGCGCGCTCCGAGGTCTGGGGCGACGCTGACCCCCGGTTCCCTGCCCCAGGCGCGTGGACTGTGGGAAAAAGAGTAGCCGCGGTGTTAATGGTCAGGGCTCTGCGACGGCGGGCTCGACCATAGAAGGCAGCCGGCGACTCCAGCGCTCACTGTAGAGTTGGGTCCCCTTTCGCCCGTCGCTGGCCTAGCGACTTCCTGGTGCAAAGCCCGCCCCCCCGCACGCGGAGCCCCCCACTTCCTCCCTCGCCTCCCGGGGAGCAAGATGGCAGAGGAGCCGGAGGCCGCGCTCCCGCTGCCCGCGTCAGGTGCGGCGGACGGCGAAGGGCCTGCGGACGTCTCCCCGGGAACAGCCACGCCGGAGCCCCCTTCTTCCGCCGCGGTCTCCCCGGGAACAGAGGAACCTGCCGGCGACACCAAGAAAAAAAGTAATTTTTGAGAGTGGTTTCTGGGCAGAGGCGGGAGGTTTGTTTAGATCGCTTCCCACGAAGGATGGCAAAATGGAGAGGGAGGAAGGCCCGCGCCAGGCGTGGTTTTTGACCAGTTAGGAAGGGAAGTGTTCTGGTCAGCTTTGAAGACGGTACTGTTGAGGGCCTTCCAGAAAGCTGGACGCACCTTGGCAATGGGTTGCGGTCCTCGGCGGCCCCCGCGCTTCGGGCACCGGCGGCACCTGCCGCACCTGCCGGGCCGCTGGCCTGGCCTCAGACTTTTTGAAGGCGGGAGCGGGAGTGGGCTCTCATTGAATGTTTCCAGGTACTTAACCCGGTAGCTAATTATTTGAATAATGATTGAAGATGATAGGGATAGTAGGTGGCAAGTCTGAATTAGAATTCATGCCTGCCAGCTAGTTAGTTCGCAGGGGTGGTTTTTTTTGTTTGTTTGTTTTAAATTCACTTCTTGAACCAAAAAAAAAACTGAAATTTTACCCAAAATGAAGAATAGTAAAGGAAAAAACTAAAAGCACAGGCATCGTCTTTCTAAAAACAAACCAAACACACAAACCCTTTTGGAACCTTTGTGAATCACGCCATTGTGTGAACTATCATCTACCCTGTCATTGCTTGAGAATTCGCTTGCCATTGTAAAAATACAGAAATTCCTAAATTTACTTGTCCTGGAGCATTCTCTGTAGCGTTGCTTATGACAAAAGCAGCAAATCAGCACCTTATAATTCAAAAAGGTTGACCCTGGGCCTCAGACACGTTTTGCCAGACAGAGTCTTGGTCCTAAGTATTGGCACGTTTTCTGCTCCGGGAATCTCACAGCCTCCCATTTGAACTTCATTTTCTTCTGCCTTTGGAAGATAATTGTTTCTTCCAGCGCTGTTCCCCTTTACAGATAGACTGCTTCTTCCTTTGGGGGAAATCTAGTGCTGTTCCCACATGATGCACTACCAGAGAAGCAAACCTTTCATTATTTTTATAGATAACCACTGGAATCTTTCTTGAGAAGAATTCCATGAGTTTTACAGATTTTCGTTTTTTTTTTTCTTCCATTTTATTTTAAGCAGGAATAGATTTTCAAAGGGCTTGTTTTAAGCTCAAGCAGTTTTAGTCAAAAGTGTATTACTCCCTCCGTGAAGATCGCTCTGTAAAACAGTGGCTAAAGATTAATGACCTGCAACAGGGAGATAGCCTGGGGTTGTCTTTGATTATTTCTTTGTTTCTGGCTGCTGTGAGCGTTTGCGTTTGCTTCTCTTGTGATATAAAACTTAGTTTCTAGCTATTGAATACCCTGAAATTGTCATCCTTTTTTTGAAGACCTCTTCTGATGAAAGAAGCTTAGCTATTACATATGCTTCACTTCTGGTTTAATCCACAGAGGAAGAAAGATTGGCCTCACATTAGGACCACCTCAGGGAGCTTTAGAACATACCTGTGCCAAGACCCTACTTCCAAAAACTCTGATTTAATTGATGCGGACTCCTGTATATTCTTGTAAATTAAATCTGTTCCCCCAGTTGCTCCTAATGCATAGCTAGGGTTGATAACTGTAAAGCAAATCACCTTTAGAAATTAAAAGAAAAAGTAGTTATAATTTAAATAAATGCATCCTCTAGCTCCTAGCCCTTCCAATTTTTTTTTTTCCTGCAGTAGCACAGCTCATAATATTTTCTCCTTCACTTTTTTGAAATGCTCAGTTGCAACTGAGTTATTGATAGCCTCAGGAGATTGGAGGGAGCATAGAAGGCAGAGTTACTCAAAACCCCCTCATTTATTTTTCAGTTCATCTCTGTTTCCTGGATAAGAAGCTAGAGTATTAAGTGGAGGAAGGAAGGTAAACTTTTTCAGGAAGAATACTGTGTGCCTTGTTTTCCAGGTGCCTTCATTCCAAGGGTAAACTTGAATAAATTGATCTCTGACTCCATTGGATCCCAATTTTTAACACCAAAGACTAGGACAAGAGAGATGTAATATATTAGAATTAACTTTAGGGGGCAGCAGTACACTGGTTTGCTTTTCCGGGGCTTAATCACAAGGAACAACAGCCTGTAATTATTAAAATCGAGAGTCTAGGTCAGTGGTCAGCAAAATCATTAGCCGAAGTTTGCCGACCACAAACTATTTTCCCCCTTTTTATTGAATATATTGGGGGACATTGGTTAATAAAATAATACAGGTTTCATGTGTACAGTTCTATACTACATCATCTGTATATTGTATTGTGTGTTCACATGCATCCTTTTTTTAAGTATAGTAACTTCAGAAGGCAGATTCATAGTTTGTGTTTGTATTTTGGATTATTGAAACCTTTAATTTCTCTAACTGAAACTTTTTGGCCCCTAGTTGCTGTTTATTCCCTAATAATTATGTTCCTTTATTAGAAATGTTATTGTAGAAAACTTGGTGGTTACAAAAAGTACCAGTAAAAAACAAATAATAATCACCTATAATGTCACTACTGAGAAATAGCATTTTGGGGCACATTTCACATTTACATGAATATATGCTTGTGATGGTTTTAATGAAATTGAAGTCTTATTATACATGCTGTTTTATATTAGTACATTTTGATAACTTTTTCATGTTGCTAAATATGCTTTTTTAATATATATATATATATATATATATATATTCTTTTTTATTGATTTTTTTACAGAGAGGAAGGGAGAGAGTTAGAAACATCGATGAGAGTCATCGATCAGCTGCCTCTTACACATCCCCTACTGGGGATGTGCTTGCAACCAAGGTACATGCCCTTGACCAGAATCGAACTTGGGACCTTTCAGTCCGCAGGCTGACGCTCAATCCAATGAGCCAAACCGGTTTCGGCTAAATATGCTTTTATAGAATGTTTTCTTTAATGGCAATTTATAATCTTAAGGTTCAATAAATATGAGTTATGAGCTAATACTGTTCTAAGTGCTTTACATATATTAACTTATTTAATCCTCAAAACAACATTATGAGGTAGGTGATATTGTCTTCATTTTACAAAAGGAAAAACTGTGACACAAAGAGATTAAAGAGTTTATCCTGATATATATACTTAGCAAATAGCAGAGCCAGGATTTGGAACCCAGGGAACTTCAGAGTGTGTATTCTATACGGAATTATATAAATTTAATCATAGACTATAATATCATTTATTCAACCAATCCCCTCTAAATACTGATGTTGGATATTTAGATTTGCCAGTTTCTTTTTTTTTCTATAAAAATAAATGTTTCAACAAAGGTGAAATCCTTCTAAGTGAGTTTTTTTACATCTCATATTTTATGAGACTAGATTCCTAGTACCATTATTATTAGTACTACTAACCCTGTGCACAAATCCATGCATCACTCTCTGCTGCCCTCCTATAGCTTCCCCCACCCCCTCCACCCCTCTCTCTGCTGCCTTCTTGTAGTGCAGTACCCCAGCCTCCTGCAAATCTGTGATCTGGTTGTTATACAGTTGGTCATTATGCCTCAGGGCGTAATGAATAATTAGCATATTCCTCTCATTATATGGGATTATTGGACCAAAGCATATCTTAAGTATTAGGTAATGTATTACCATATTGTTCTCCAGAAACGGTGTGCCAGTTTTTAATTCCCAACAGTAGTGTCATCTACAGTATTATAATTCTAGTCTTTGCTAATTTGGTTGGTTGTAAAAAGCCATGACATTGTGTGTGTGTGTGTGTGTGTGTGTGTGTGTGTGTGTACATTTTTATTGATTTTAGAGAGAATAGAGGAGAGGGAGTGAGAGATAGAAACATCAATGAAAGAGAAATATCAAACATCCATTGACTGCTTCCTACAGGCCCCCCCACTGGGGGATGAGCCCTCACCAGGAATTGAACCAGTGATCTTTTGGTGCATGGGTTGACACTCAATCACTGAGCTACACCGGCCCGGCGACATCTTCTTATATATTTTTACATATTTATTGACTATTTCTATTTTTTTAATTATTAAAATGAAATTTAAAGATATATTTCATGGAGAGTCCTTTCTGAGACTGTAGAATGGGCGGGGGGGAATGATGAAAAAGAATCTTACTACTTAACATTTGTATATCTTAGACATACCTCCAATATTTTCAGTGTATATACTATGTGCAGATTAAAGGTTTAACTTTTCAGTTATATGTTGTGTAATTGTCTGTTTTGTTTTTTGGTTTTTTTCCTTTTACAGTTGATATCCTGCTAAAGGCTGTGGGAGACACCCCTATAATGAAAACAAAGAAGTGGGCTGTAGAGCGAACCCGAACCATCCAAGGACTCATTGACTTCATCAAAAAGTTCCTTAAACTTGTGGCTTCAGAACAGTTGGTATGAAATCAATGCTGACTATTTCCCTACAATTATCTATAATGGTTACTAGGCAATAATGAATAACTTGTATATAGAAGTACATATGGAGCCATATATTTTTACTTCAGTAATGTTCTTTCATTGGTGGGATTTCTGTACTTTATTGAAAGATTCTCTGGGGAACTTGAGTGAAATGAATTTTAGAGTTATGTTTACAATATGAACTGATTTTTTATTTTATTTTTTTACCACTGAGGTGATTTACTCAAAAAGCCACTGAATGTCCACGCAGAAAGATCTGTCAGAGAACATAGAGATGTTTAGGTTTTATAATTTGTTTTGATATTAATGTTGTTTCCTTTGCGTTACTCTTGAGGTAAGACATATTGCTTACCATATGTTATGGAAGAACTAAGAAATATTCTTATTTCATATTAGTACATGTTACACACTTTAAAGCAGTTGGAGAAATGAATATTTTAAATGCCACTGGATTTTAACTTGGTATTCAGCTATAGAAATTTAAATGTCTACTTGTATTTGGAATATTGTTGCCTGTTAATTAATATAGTAGACACCTTTATTGGCAAATCACATCTTGGCCAGTATTTATACTGATCTAGCAGTTTGGCTTTACCTCTCACAAAGTAAACATAGTTGCAAGAGTAAGTAAGTATAAGATAGATGAATCACTAGAAGTAATTAGAGGAAGAATAGCATAGAGCCTGGGAATCCTCCAAAGGAAGGTGTTTAGAAAAAGTATGGGAATATTTGAGTTTTGCAGCTTAACATCTCCCTTTGTTTTCAGAGTGAGAAAAGCATCTATGTTATTACAACGCCATATAGAATTTAATTAAATGTCAGAGGTGGGTAAGAAGACTGTAGTGTCATCATTCACATGCATATGGAAGCTAAAATCTCAGGAGCAGAAGACCTTGCCTAGATAGAGTTGCTCAGTGGTTAGAGCATCCACCCATGGACCGAAGGATGTTGGGTTTGATCTCCAGTCAGGGGCATCTATCTAGGCTGCAGGTTTCTATCCCTGGGACAGTGCAGGAGGCAACCAATCAATGTCTCTCTCACATCGATGTTTCTCCCCCACCCCCCTTTTAAAAACCAATGGTAAAAGTATCCTTGGTGAGGATTAAAAACAAAATCATTATTCTTTAAAACTAAAATAACTTTATCTTCCTAAGTTCTAGCATTTAGCAAGATTACATTTTGAAATTGTTACTTCCATGGAATTTTAAGCTAACTGAATTGCTTTTTTTTTTTTTTAATTTCAGTTCCTGACTCCTGTTATAAATAGCAATGAGTTATTATAGTTCTGGTACATTTACTCTATTGTCCCCTTAACATTAAAACAACCTTACTTTTGCTTACAAAGTCCTAACTATTCTTTCATCTAGTTAAATCCCATTTATCTCTTAGAGAGGTCTTTCCCTGATATTTTTGCTAGATTAAACTAATGCGACATCTCTTGTATACTACACACCTTGTCAGATGCACTTTTCTCATCTATAGTTTTATCTGCATGTGTCTGCCTCTCCAGTAGATTGAAAACTCATTAATGGGAGACATATTAATCTTCACAGTTCATACTTTGGAAAATTCCTACCACATAATAAATAGTGAATGTTTGCTGAACTAAAAATTGTCATCAGGGGCCTTCTCATTTAAAATGTACCAGAAGAATAAAATATCTTGTTAACTCACAGTTAAATTGTCAGGACCTAAAGACAGATTCTTGTATCTGTACTAGAAGCCCAGAGCACGGATTTGTGAATGGATGGGGTCCCTCAGCCTGGCCTGCAATCGGAATCCATTAGGGCCAGGAGGCTGAGGGAGGGAAGAAGCTTCAGAAGCTCCTGCATTGAGCGACTGCCCCTGGTCAGTGCATGTCATAGCACCAGTTGTTCGGTCGTTCAGTCGCTTTGGCTTTTTAAAGTATTTGTATTTAGAGCCAGAATTCAAACTTGGATCTGTTTCAGTAGAGACTCTGTTTTTAATTACCACATTGAATCACTTAAGAGAAAAATGTAGGCATTATTTATTTTTATTACAATTGGTGACCCAAATAGTGTCCATCAACCAACTGTTTATTCTGATATTATTGGGTTTTAAAGGCTATATTTAGTCTAGGAAACTTTAGTCTTAGAATTTGACTATAGATAAAGGATCAACCAGCTATTTATTCTGATATTATTGGGTTTTAAAGGCTATATTAAGTCCAGGAAATTTTAGTCTTAGAATTAGACTATAGACAAAGGCAAATTGATAATGTTACCTGCAAATGTTTTATTTTCTAAAAGGAAAATGATCAAAAGCTACAAAGACAACTTTTGTATCTGCAGGAAATTTTTTAAGTACAGCTTTCCCCCACTATACAAAAGAAGAACATTCCTATGAAACCTTTCCTAAGTCAAAATGATATAAAACAAAGAAGCAGTTACCATTAATTTATATGAAAAAAAAAACTTTGTGCATACCAAGATCCCCTCAACCTACCAAACCATAATACACTTAATTATATCCAGTTTTATGCTAAGCATAACACCCTTATGAGCTCTCTTAGGCATTCTGATATTTTAAGTCACATCTTGCTAACAGATATATAAAATTGAGATAAAACACAGATGCTTACAGACACAATCCAAAGCTGTGGTGGCTTAATGCCAAGATGCAGAGTGTAGTTTCCAGTGCTAATCTCACCGTTTCTATAATGGCTCACTGCAAAACATGCTGAACGTTATTTTTGCTTTCTTAATAAAAGTGAAAATCCTCTTAGGATTTCTCAGTTAAAATAGGTACTAATGTAGGTCATTCATAACATGAACTTTCAAAAAGCAGAGAATACATGTATTAGAGTGTTTTAATGAAAACAGACTAAACAAACATTGAACAATGAATCCTTTAAAGAACAAGGTTATAAGGGCATTAGGTTTCATTATGTTACCATCTTAGTTAGCTATAAATGACTTTACAGTAGTGGCACTCAGCCTGGATTTCAGCACTTTTACAACTTTTCAGTGGTGGTAAAGGTAAAAAAAAAAAAAATTCAACTGTGTTATTACCCAAGAAAAATGTTCACACTATCTCAAATATTAGATTTCCTGATTTTATACTGTGTATGAAGTTTTGTTAGGAAAAATTCTGTCGTTAAAATGATTACTAGTTGGAAAAAGTAATACTTTTAGTAATTGCTTAAGTAAACCTTCAAAAGCTATTTGTAAACTTTATTTAAAAGTTTTCCGTTTTAATAAGTAGGTGCAAAAAATGTGGTTTTATTCCTTCACGGAGGATGTAATCTTAATCTTCATAAAGATCGCATTAGTTGACTAATTTTATGAGAAGTTGGAAAAGGAGTTTAAGGAAACTTCCTTCAATTTTGAAGACAAAGAATATGAAAGAGCTGGCTGATTGAACCGCAAAATAATCAGGATACCATTAAAAATGAATCACCCTTTTTTTTTTTTTTTTTTTTTTTTTTTTGCAGTTTATTTATGTGAATCAGTCATTTGCCCCTTCCCCTGACCAGGAAGTTGGAACCCTCTATGAGGTAAAATATAACTTTATTTTTTATGCTTTATTTTTTTAAGGAAAGATGCACATTTTGTGAATAGTATGATTATTAATTCACATCATTATTTTAAGAGATGCTATTCTTAATTGCCTCTCAGGAAAAAAGATTACTTTCTTGTTTTCTGTTATTTCTCTAACACCTTGAACATTTACTACCTCAATAAATTTCTCAGTGATTAAAGAATTAAGGAATGAATAGTACACACAGAAGATGAATTTGAATGAATAATACAAACAGTAGATGTTCAGAAATAAAGCCTTCTTTTTTGCCTAATGTGTTTCTTTTACATTTTTTATATAATTACTAATTCAGATTTGCTTCCAAGAAATTTAAAAGAAGACTACATAAGAATGACTTCATTCAACATCCTAACAGTTTGATGACAAAAATTATCGCTAATGTGTATACTATAAGTAGAAAACAGTATATACCATTACAGTTAAGAGATACAGAGAAAGGGCAAGATAAAAATATGTAAGCCCATCCAGGCCTATGATGTTTAAAGGACAGGTTTTACTAAACAGGAGAGGCCTGGTTCATGGATTCTGCACCAGTGGGTTCCCTTGGGCTGGCCTGCTGGGATTGAGCTGAAACCAGCTCTCCAACATCCCCGCAGTGGTCCAGGATTCTGAGAGGGCAGTTCTCAGGTGATACACCCCAGAATCAGACTCCCTCCTCTCTGGGTCCAGGGTGTGGGTGAAGCAGATTCCGGGCCCACAGTGCCCAGCAGCAACCTAACCCGGAGCTGATTCCTCCAGGAATCGGGCTCCCTCGAGGATTTGGGCTCCCTCCTCCCTTCTCTCTGGGTCCAAGATACAGGTGAAGCAGAATCTGGGCTGACAGTGTCCCAGCAGCAACCTCTAACCCATGGTCTATTCTGCGAGGAATTGGGCTCCCTCCTCTACTGGTTGGAGCATCTGCCCCCAGTGGTCATTGAAGATCATAGCTACCAGGTAAACAGTTGGAAGGTCACTTAGGCTCACGTATATAGATTATGATTATCGACGTGTTACAATAGCAACTTGCATCCTTTTTAAAAGAAATAGCTTTGTAAATAATTTATACCTACATGTATAAGGATATTTATGATACATATAACATTTTTTCTTAGTTTCATCAAAGAATAGCAAAAATTAAGTTTGTTTTCCTTTTTTGTAGTGTTTTGGCAGTGATGGTAAACTGGTCCTGCATTATTGCAAATCTCAGGCATGGGGATGAACGACAGAGAAAAAGATCTTGGTAACTAAAAATGAATCTTCACAAAGGACACAGCTCTTGATACTTATGGCAAGAAACTTGTGGATATGATCTTAGCATGTTATCTGCTAAGACCCATGTTTATGCATTTAAAAAATTCATAGAGTTGACTCACAAAAATGTGATTTGCATCAATATAGAAATCATCGTAAAATATTGACATTATATTCACTACTACAACTATTGCTCCAGATACGCATCCAGGATATTGAAAAGGAGACTAAGATTGTATATGAAGCCTCTTTGTTGTGTGTGTTTGTTTAACTTATCTTTATTAAAAATATTACAGATGTCCCCTCTTTTTTTTCCCATTGACCACTTTTTGGCTGCATAGGCCTTCACCACACTATTGTCTATGTCCATGGGTTATGCATATAAGTTCTTGGTTAATCTCTTCCTACCCACCCCACCTTCCCTCTGAGATTTGACTGATTGTTCCATGCTTCTATTTTGTTCACTAGTTTATTTTGTTCTCTAGATTTTACATATGAATGAGATCATGTGATGCTTGTCTTTCTCTGATTTATTTTGCTTAGCATAATACTCTCCAGGTCCCTCTGTGGTGTGTCAAAGGGTAAGAGAGCCTTCTTTTTTTACTGCTATGTAGTATGCCCTGGTGTAAATGTACCACATCTTTTTTTATCCTCTCATCTAATGATGGGCACTTGGGCTGTTTCCAGATCTTAGCTATTGTAACTTGTGCTGCTATAAACATAGGGGTGCATATATTCTTTCTGATTGGATTTTTAGGTTTCTTAGAGTATATTCCAAAAATGGGATCACTGGGTCAAATGGCAGTTCCATATTTTATTTTTGAGGAAACTCCATACTGTTTTCCATAATGACTGCACCATCTTCATTCCCACCAGCATGTACAAGTGTTCCCTTTTCTCTACATCCTCACCAGCACTTGTTATTTGCTGACAAAGGAGGCAAGAGCATATAGTGGAGTCAACACAGTCTATTCAGTAAGTGGTGTTCGGAAAATTAGACAGGTACATGCGAAAACATGAACTCAGATCATCAACTTACACCATACACAAGAACAAACTCACAATGGATAAAAAACTTAAATGTAAGTCTTGAAACCATAAAAATTCTAGAAGAAACCATAGCAAAATCTCAGACAACTCCTGTAGCAATATGTTTGCTGCTACATCTAGGACAGGGCAAACAAAGGAGAAAATAAACAAATGGGACTACATCAAAATAAAAAACTTCACAGCAAAAGGAACCATCAACAAATGAAAATGGAGCCCACTAAAGGAGAATAAATGTGGCTATGATACATCTGATGGGTTAATCTATGTAATGAACTCATACGACTTAACAAGGAAGACAAACCTCAGAGTATGGGTAAAGCACCTAAACAGACACTTTTCCTGAGTGGACATACAGATGGCCAAGAAACATGTGAAAAAATGCCATTAATCATCAGAGAGATACAAATTAAAACAACAGATCACCTCACCTGTCAGAATCAACAAAACCTCTTTTTATCAGTTCTCAAAATGACTGAAATTGTTTACTTGTAGAATTAGCACTGTAAAAGTTTAGTTTACTAAAAGATTATTTTTGTGCTGCTTCTCGGAAGTTCAGTTTGAGGTATAGGATATACTTTTTCTCGTATACACTTGTTTCTCCAGTATTATGAAAAGATCTCATTGACTTGCTGGCTTTATACCTTACATAGTCCAGTAGAGGGCAGCCCAGATGGCAAAAATAGGCAGTTTGGTTTCACATTTGCCAGATGATAATGGAGAACTGTTTGTAGCAAACATCTAGCCAAGAGAGCATGTATGTTGACCCACTGGAAGATTGTTTTAGAGAATATGCAAGGTTTAGATTTAATTGTTTTATTGTGAAAAAAATTTTTTTGATAAATGAATCATGCACCTCTTTCAGTCCTTACATTTGATGATTCTGGAGACCCACTGCTTATGGCTATGGTGGTCTTCTGTCTCTTTTACAATGTCAAAAGCACTCAAGTGAACGTGGCAACATCTTTGAGTTTTTATAAAGTATTTTTCAACTTGAAAATGCTCAAAAAAAAACTGAACAAAAGCCTTAGTTTTACATGTATTTCATGCCATAACTTCAAGTACCTTTTTTTCTAATGCCATTAGAGATGAGATTTAACTTTTTAAAAATTCTGTTATGTCTGTAGTACAACATTAAAAAAGCATTCCAATAAATTGAATGGAATGTCCAAACAGGATCCAAAGTATGTACAAGAATTCTCTTAAGTGTTTGTTTTCAAAAGTAATGTACTTTATGATTAATGATCTGCCATACATTAGCATTAGGGGTGCTAAGGAAGAATTCCATTTATAGTGATGAAATTGCTGTTCAGTTCTCATTTTCTGCCCAAGAATAAATTCTTAAGTCCCCTTATACCAGTGTTCCGGTGTGATAAATTAATACAGTTAGTAGTTAGCACTGGAATAGTACGGGCTGAATTGTACAAATTTATTTTGTAAGATTAGGTAAGAAATTTATATATATGTTGCAAGCTGGAAAGTGTATTTTTAAGTCAAATAGGTTGGATGTGGGAAAGATCTGTTCTCTAGCTTTATCAATTTATAGTTACTGAAGGATGTGAATGTATTGAAATATATATATATATATATATATATATATATATTTAACAAATAGCAAAAATGTGTTTAACTTAATATTTACCACTAAGGTTTTAAGTGATGGGATAGTTACTACAATAATCAAAGCTATCTGAGTTTGAATTTGTGACATCAATTTAATTATTATTTATGATCTAAAGAACTTATTAATTAAATCTAAGTTTAGCTAAATATGTATACACATTGGTTTTTCCCCCCTAATAACCTTAAAGAATATAGTACAGGGCTTTACAATATTACAAACCGTATTTACACTGTAATCTCTTTTTTTTTAATATATTTTATTAATATTTTACAGAGAGGAAGAGAGAGGGATAGAGAGTTAGAAACATTGATGAGAGAATCATCGATCAGCTGCCTCCTGCACACCCCCTACCGGGGATGTGCCCGCACCAAGGTACATGCCCTTGACGGGAATCGAACCCAGAACCCTTCAGTCTGCAGACCGACTCTCTATCCACTGAGCCAAACCGGTCTCGGCTACACTATAATCTCTTAATCCTTAGCCAAAGAATTAATTATTCTGTGCTAACTTTTCAATACTTACTTGAAAGCCTGGATCCCCTAAGTTACTGGGTGATGGAATTCACAAATCCTTTTGCAGATGTCTGGTTTAAACTGTTAACTGTAATTGAATTTGGGGTGTGGGGAGGAGAGACTGAATCCTCAGGTTATATTTTTTTTTTTTGATGTTCATGAGAAAATCATTGTCAGTAATGTCATGCTTTATCTTACTGTGCAAAGATGGTCTACAACATACAGAGGGCATGTAATTATTAGGATATTGTGCTTCTGTCTTTGAAGGTATCTACACCAAGAACTTCATGAGTTCCTTATATTTAGGGTATAAGGTAAGCTAAGAATATCTGTAATCAAAATAAGATTGGATACCTGACCAACTGGTGTAACTTAGTGGTTGAACCAGGAGGTCTCAGTTCGATTCCTGCTCAGGGCACCCACATGGGTTGCAGGCTCCTTCCCCAGCGTGGTATGTGCAGGGAGTAGCCGATCAATAATTCTCTCATCAGTGTTTCACTCCCTCTCCCTCTCTGAAATCACTAAAAATATTTTTTTTTTTTTAAAAAAGAGTGGATACTTCCCTGAATCTGAATTTCTAGAAGGAACCTTAAATATTAACTGCTCTAAGCAGATTTAAAAAAAAACAAAAAAAAAAAACAAAACAAAAAAAAAAACGGAAAAGAGCAGACTATGCCTTCGATTGTATGGCAGCTTAGTTGTATTAGTTTTTTTTTCCAAAGTGGAAAAGTGCATTGTTCAAGGGAAAGGGTATGACAATCACCTTTCAGACAGCTTCATTTTTCAAGAATTATACTGGGTAAGCTTCTGGCACCAAGTAAGTCAGCTACAGCCCACATAATGGGAGGAAAAGCCTTCAGAAAGCAGTACAGCACGTTTAGTCTTACAAGTACTATTTCTCTAATCATTATTCAACCCACACTCAGATTATTCACTATTCTCTGTGCCTTGTCTTTTCTGTTTCTTAACCCATTGTATGCCATAGACATCTGTAGACACAAATGTTGGACCTTCCCCACAAGTCACTTGAATCTATAAAAAAAAAAAAAAAAAATGTTTTTCCTAAGTGGCAGCTCTGCCCAACTTTAAAATCATTTTTAATGAGAATGTTCAGCGGAAAATATTAAATATTACCTGAATTGCAATTTATTTTTATAATATTCATTGCAAATTGATTTTTTTAATTAAAAATATTGTGGTGTAGGGGGATGGTTTCCATTTTGACGCCGTAGCACTTAACTGGTTTAATCTGCTAATATTATTCAGTTATGGAAGTGCACTGACTTTCCCTGTCATATCCTGCCTCTGCCTAATATTGTAATGCTTCCTTAAAGCTTGTCTGAATCAGTCAAGGGGAAGGTATTCTCTGGTCTACAACATACAGAGGGCATGTAATTATTGTTAGAACAGTTACAGTGCACTACCACTAATGCAGCACTGCTGTATACTTCCTTATAAATATACTTCCTTATAAATGTCCCACAACCTTTCATGATTGTAATGTCCCTAAAAGTGGGATTTGGGGTTTTTTATTTGGTAACAACACACTTAATACTTTGTGATTTGCCTTACACATACCTAATTAGTAATTCATTATAAAGTGAATGAAATTAAGTGTGACTTTCAAAGTTTAACTTTGAAAAGCAATAATAAAGCTAATTTGTGTAGAATGGTCTCCACCTTACTCCTGACCTCCATTAGATTCCTAAAACCCTGGATAGAACTGAACCCTATGGGTACTGTTTTTTCCTATACATACATACTTACGATAAAAGTTTCCCATACATAGGTACCTATGCATACATATAAATTAGATACAGTAAGATTTAATAATAATAGAACAATTATAACAATACGATGTAATAAAATATGTGAATGGTGTCTCAAAATACAGTTCTCACCCTTCTTGTGACGATGTGAAATGGTACAATGTCTGCATGTTGAGATGTACTCCCATATCAGCAAAAGCTGAAACCCTAGCAAGGTCTTCTGTGATCAGTCCCCACTTGCAAAAACTGCCATGCATATCCATGTTCATCTGTGTTATTCAAAAACTAAGCTTGCTCCCATCTTAGCGCTTTTGCACTTACTGTTTCCTCTACTTGGAAACTTCCCTCAGAAAACTGGGTCTCACATCTTTCGGTCCCTGATCAAATATCATCATCCAGAGTGTTCTCCTAGGCCCTCTCTAAAATACCACCACCCTCAACTGTCCTCCCCCTGCTTTAGCTTTCCTCCATTGTAAATCGTATACAGTATTTGTGTCCACTTCATTTATACTGTATGTAATATTTCTTGGTGTGTCCACCTGTGCCTTTCTCCCCTCCCCTCCCCCCCATTAGAACATAAACCCTCTGAGGGCAGAGACTTAGTTTTGTGAGCAGAGCTTGGCATGTAGTGCATGATTTTAAAAATAGATAGCTGTATATTCACAGTACAGACCTCTCTCTTCTGTTCCCTCATTTGGATACCCACCCCATGTCAATGATTGTCTTAAAATGTGTAAATCATTGCCCAGAGTACAGTAGAACTACCTCTAGGTCTAAGTATTAAGTTACTAGATCCTCTAGTTGCAACACATCACAAAAGGTTGGCTTTCTACCCAAAGTCCTTTCTGAACAATAGTGATTGAGCTGTCTGTACTTCTGAAGAACATTGTTAGCACAATTTGTACATAATATATACACTCATACATATAGGGGTGGATAAAAATAGGTTAAATTACCAGCCATCACTACTTAAAAGATAAGTAATAATCATTCTATAATAATGCCAATGAATATAATAATAAATCAATAGTTTCTGTGTACTCACAACTGTAAACCTACTTTTACTCACTCCTATATATACATACGTTAAAGCAAAAGTCTATCAATAAAAGAAGAAAAAAAGACTAGTCTTCCAGAAGTATAGACCATTAATAATCTTGAATCCAAATTATTTCCTGAGTCCATTAATGAGAAAAAAGGAATCTACACTTGCATTTCTTCTGTCCCTCACGTTTTTCTTATTTTCATTCATACTTAATTTGCCTTGTTCTCAAAGCACTGCTTCTAGAAATAATGTATTTAGTCTAGTATAACCTTTTACTGCTTTGGGAGAAGAAGAAAAATACCACATACGCACACACAGCGTTTCCTTTCACGTGAATTGAATCAGGTCTTTCCACTGAATCATTTTTAGGTAATGTTTGATTTTAAAATCAGAGAGGGATATCTGGCCTAATACCGTTCTATTTGCTAATCTACCTGGACAGCCGCGTCTCCTTTGTCAAAATGTACTTTGAGTACACAATGCAATAGTACAGATGATGTACTATAGAATTGTACACCTAAATTCAATGTCATGCCAATAAATTCAATAAAAGCTTGTGTGTGTGTTTTAATGGTTAAAAGAAGACTAATTTTCACCTAGCCTGAAGCTTATTATCTAGAGTTTCAATCGCTCAAAAACAGATCTCCATCTTGGAAGTGGAATCCATCCTCAACCTTCCCAAGCTCTTCCTAGTTCCTCAGCTCTCTCTGACAGCTAGGGCCCCCTGCCTTCTTCAGCATCTGTCCCCAGGCGTTCTCGCCGGAACCCGCGGTCTGCATCCCAGGATGTGGAACCCCGGTGGCCGAAAGGAGCCGCTGGGGACGCCGGCGGCGGGGCGTGTGGAAAGGGGTGGGGATGGGAGGCCCAAAGGAGCCTGTCACCGTGGGGGACGGATTGCGCGCAGCCCGCGAGGGAAGGGCTCCGGGAGGGCTGCACCGCTCGGAGGGCGGACGCCCTCGCCGTGGCCACCACCTTCCTCAGGTCGCACCCCGCCTCTCCCCGCCCTCCGAGGGCCATTGGTACATTCCCGCGGACTCCGAGAGCTTAAAAAGGGCCCGGGAGGCTACACCGCACGGATTCGGTCCTCATTTGTGTACTCTGCACGTTCTACAAGATCGCAGATCCACACCGACCCCGTGATAATCTCGGCCAGGGATTCTTTGGGCAGTGACTTTCAAGTGTCTGGGGTTTGTGTGTGTGTGTGTGTGTGTGTGTGTGTGGCTGTCTGGCTGGCAGCTGGGGTCCCTCGTCCCCGGCTCCTAGGCTCGCCCAGCTCCTGCGCTGAAGCCGGGCCGTGAGAAAGGCGCGCCGCCGATTCTGCAAAGGATGGAGCAGACCGAGGTGCTGAAGCCCCGGTCGCTAAACGACCTGATCCGCATCCTGCACCAGCTCTTCGACGGCGAGGAGGTCAATGTGGAGGAGGTGCAGGCCGTCATGGAAGCCTACGAGAGCGACCCCGCCGAGTGGTCCGTGTACGCCAAGTACGACCAGTACAGGTGAGCGCTCCAGCCCTGCCCGCCGAGGATCGCGGGCCTCCGAGCCCGGCCGTGCGCCGCCCGGGGTCTGCGGAGAGGCGGGCGTGGTGGGGAGGGTGGAGGGGTGGGAGGGTTTTGCCTCGGGAGAATGCAGGCCCCATCGCTCCACGCGCCCAGCGCCCCCCGGGCCTCCTCCGCCGGCCCGGCTCGCCCTCCTGCGTAGGGGAGGCAACCGCCTGCCTCCACGTTTCCGTCCTTTTCTCCCGTGTCCACCTCTCAGCTTCCCAGCCGCCTCTCCTTCCGCCCCGGCCTCGGGTGCAGAGCCCAGGGGGGCCGACTGGCCGGACTGACGGAGCTGATGCTCCCGGGGAGACCTGCATCAGCCACCGGAGGAAAGGGTAACGGTGGGGCACAATTCCCCGCCGCTGGTTCTCCATCACTTCGCCCTCTGTGGCTGCTGCCAAGCAAGCACCTGCCAACAGGCGTGCGTGTGTGTGTGTGTGTGTGTGTGTGTGTGTGTGTGTGTGTCTTGGAGTTGTCAACTGCTCGTTTTCAGTTTGTGGTGATCCCTCTCCCAAACCAGTTTAAGCTCCTAGACTACGGTTTTATTTAAACACACTATGGATTCGCGAATTAAAGGACTGACAATCGCTTCTCCCCATGCCCCCTCCCCCAGCAGTATGCTTTCTCTTACCCTCAATTCTGAGGATCTGGAATGTAAATGGGAGCCCGCTGCTTCCCAGCTGTGCTGGAGTGGGAGGCCCTGGGAGGCCCGGTCCTCTGCAGAGGTGGCTTGGTGATGAAGTAAAAATGAATCTCGACCGGTCCTCTGAGGCCACGAATGAAATTTAGTCACTCCGAAGAGTGAGAGGTTCTTTTCTGAGAGGTAGCTAGCGCTTGAGTCATTGTGATTAGCTGGGTTGAAGCGGAGAGTTGAAAGAACAGAATAAGGAAAGACTAAGCTTTCCTTGGGAGCAGATTCTGTTAGTCGCTTCACAGGACATACTTAGGGCTTTTAGTAAAGTTTTGTCGGCGATGTCTCTAGGAAATTCTTTTGTTCCTATCAACTCAGTTCTTCTGTGGCTGCCAATAAAGTTACCAGAGTCTAGTGTGTTTTGTTTTTGTTGTTAATCCTCACCTGAGGATATTTTTTCCATTTATTTTTATTTATATATTTATTTTCAGAGAGAGTGGAAGATATGGGAGAGACAGAAACATTGTGTCCTTGACCATAATTGAACCCGGGACACTTCAGTTTGAGGGCAGATCCCCTATCCACTGAACCAAACCGGCCAGGGCAGAGTCTAGTTTTTTTTTTAATTTTGTCATTAGCTCCAAGTAATTGAGGGGTTATTATGGGCCAGATGCTATTGCAGTCACTTTACATGTGTGTTAACTCATTTACCTCGACAGCCCTACGAGATTGGTACCATTCATATCCCTATTTTACAGGTGAGAAATGATAAGCAATAAAAAGTTTGGATTACCTGTGCAAGGTCATACTTATGTCAAGAAGTGGCACCAGGATCCAAATGAGCATTATTGTTCTAGAGCCCACTCTCTAAACCACTATTAAACTTTTGCAGACATATGGTGTATAATAGTGGTTTTCTTGTTCTGCCTAGAGATATTCTTGGTCAAGTGAAATTAATTAACCAGGCTGTAAGTGAGCTTAATCTTTAGAACAAGGATATTTCCAGGGGCCTTGATTTATAGTGATTGACAAGCTCCAAACCATTTGAAATGCATCAGCTTGGATTGATTATTCCACAGGTATCTGAGATACAGCTCACTTAGATAGTAGGTTGGTGGATTTCGGGGGAGGAGAGAGGGAGGGAGAAGGGAGAGCAGAAATCATCAATTCGATAGTATTTTCTGCCTGTGCATGTCCAAACACTGAGGAATTCTGATCTCTGACCTTGGGGAAGCAAAAGCAAAAGAACCAAGACAGAGAGTGTTCCAGTGCAGACCAGACAGTGCATTCTCTGTTGGAAGCCCTGGAGAAACAAGAGGGATGACCCTAAGACCCGTGGAGGGAGAAGTAGGATCCTGGTACAGGAACCAGGTTTACTGTGAACTAAAGGCACAGCCCCTGGCCAGGTCATAAATGATGATAGCTGAAATTTAAAGAGCATCTACTAATCACCTCCCTTTACTAAACCTGTTCTGCCAGCATCTGGTCTTCCGCTGGGGGGAGGATGGGGCAGGTAGGACTTAAGTGAACAGATGACCGACTATATGAACAAACCCTGCCCCAGAAATGGGGTAGAGGTTGCTTTCCTTAAAAGTGACGGTCTAAATGAATGTCATAAAGCTTTGCTAATTAGATGACATTATCAGTAACTCTTGGACCAATAGAAACTTTAAAGTTGAGTTTTATTTTCTGATGGTGTGGTTGTGGGTTGTTTTTGGATCAGGATTTATTTATTTATTATTATTATTACTATTATTTTGCTTATTACTGTCTTTTCATCATTGTAAAAGGTTTAGATTACTTTCTTAATATAGTGTCCTACATTCTAATACTTATACTTAGATTACTTATTACTTATACTTGTTCTAATACTTAGAACAACTCCCCCCCACCCCAACCCCTCCCCCCTACACACACACACACACACACACACACCCTATTTGTGGAAGACTTTTCATTAAGGGTACTTTTGAATGTGGTTTGTGTCTGGGCTATAGTAAAACTAAGGAGAATTCTAGAACAGCTATTTAATAAAATCTTGTTTCTCAAATTAAGGTTTATCTACCCCAGAGAAAACACATGACAATACAATAGCAACATTCTTGCCTAATGCACTAACGAACTTTGCAATTACCTTCTGTGAGAAACCTTTTTTCAATCTCAGTCATGTCACATGGAGAATAAAGAAATTTACTTCATTTCCTGTTAACTTTTCCATGACATTAATTAAAACTGAGCAGCTGTAAATACAGTGATTCAAAATATAAAAATGTCCAAAATGAACTGGGAAAAATATTTTTGATCTGTGCTGGATTAAAAAAAAAACCACATTCAGCCTGGCTGGTGTTGCTCCTGGTTGAGTGTTTACCTATGAACCAGGAGGTTATGGTTCCATTCCCAGTGAGGGCACATGCCCGGGTTTCGGGCTCTGTCCCCAGTTGGGGACATGCAGGCAGCAGCCAATCTCTCATTGATGTTTCTGTTTCTCTCTCCCTCTCCCTTCCTCTCTGAAATCAATAAAAATACATTAAAAAAAAAAAAGAAAGAAAACCACATATATACTTGCTTAGAGGTAAAAATAGTAGCATCTGTAAATGAATACTTTGTGATACACTTATTTTTACCAGTGCTTGTTTCATCAACCAAATTCAAACTTCTGAATATATTCCTTTCAGGTACACCCGAAATCTTGTGGATCAAGGAAATGGAAAATTTAATCTGATGATTCTATGTTGGGGTGAAGGACATGGCAGGTAATACTACTATTCACAGATTTTTATTAGAGTGTCTATTCCAGAATATGCAGTGTACAGTGCCAGGCTGGCCACAAGTCTTGAGAGAACTAACAAATCTCATTTTATAATTATTTGTCCCCTAAGCCTAATAACAAATCTCATGGGAATTAGCCTAAAGGGTTTAGGCATACACCATGAATATCAAAACCAGCCCCCAAAATGAGTAGGTGGTAACCAGTTTAACTTATTCTCTCTCCAAACTTTTATGGGATTGTGCTAAAACTTGACTTTTGTAGTTTGAAGTGTGTAAATAATTTTGGGACTAAAGACCTAAATGTCCAGATTTGGAGCTAGAAAAGCAATACACAAATTGGGACAATTTCTTTTCACTTCAAGTTTTTCTTTATATAGTGAGTAAGGCAACTTAAACTAATACCAATTCTTTGAAATTTGGTTCCTTAATTGTTCTTAGTTTAAATATTTGCCAGCATTACTACCAATTGAGTATTAGTATCTCTTTAAACAGATCCTTCTCAGTCTTTTGAGAATGGTGAGACAATAATCCAGACCCATTTTTGATGGGAGAAAGGAAACAGGAATTTATAAAGTTTTGGAAAATTAGGTTTATAGAATTCATGTATACACTCATGTAGAATGAAGCAATTTTCCCTTATTCAATATTTTTTCAAAGTAGATTACATATAAAGAATAAGACTAGGCTTTGTGAATTTTAGAAAACAAGTTCTTTCTATGATATATATATATATATATATTTTAATCAACCCTAAAGCTCATCTTACTTAATAAACTTAAATACTATTTACTATAAGCTTGTATGAAAATATTATTTTCCCAAATCAAATTTGCTTTATTTCCCCACAAATATTGGGATGTAATCACAGGTAGGGCAGTCTAAATCTACAGAATGTTAACATTATATGTATATTACAGTATAAGTTTAGGATGGTGGCAATAGATACGTATACCTTTTGTCCCCCAAAGGCAGGATAAAAGAGAGAAAACCTGGGAAAAATCATTAAATGTCAAGTGATCTTCTCAGTGTGATGCAATGATTATAGATGATTATTTTTGTCCTTCCTAAAAGTTCTCCAATGCAGTTTTTTAACCAAGTTTTAGTGCAGCTTAACTGAGTTATTAAAAGCTGTATCTTGGAGAAGATAAAAGGTTGCTGGTTTTGTGTTTCTCTTATGAAAGTAGTATTCTAACAGGGTTTGAAAAAATTAACTGTTCTTAAGTAGGGGGTATGGATGAAAACTGTTACTCTTATATACATTGATATGGAAGACATTTTTCTCTATAGTGTACAATATTGAATTATAAATTGATGACATTTCAAAATTCAGCTGAAATGGATTTTGTCTTGGGAATGTGCAGCTTTCAGCTCTGGGCTGACTGTTACTGCAGGTCTGGGTACTGGACCCTCTACTGAGTTCACTTGTCCTTTGTGTCTATATAGCAGTATCCATGACCACACCAACTCCCACTGCTTTCTGAAGATGCTGCAGGGAAATCTAAAGGAGACATTATTTGACTGGCCTGACAAAAAATCCAATGAGATGATCAAGAAGTCTGAAAGAATCTTGAGGGAAAACCAGTGTGCCTACATCAACGGTAACATCCAATAGCTTTTTCTAAGGGCAAGCGGGAAAAACCTTTAACTCCCATTGGAAATATTGGTTACTTACCCATGTGCAGTAGAACTTAGATCATGAAGTCACTAATTTCAAATGCTTGGTAAATGACCCGAGAGCAGTGGGTTTTGCTTTTTAAAGGTTTGCATGTGGATTAGAATCACTTATTGGAAACACATGCTTGTAGACTAGTGCTGACTGAAACGTCATTTGCATGCCAAATCTTAGGACAGTTAGAACTGAATATGAATTTATGTGTGTAGAGTCTTCTAATGAAGGAGTGAGGCCAAGGTGGGAATAAGTAAATATAACAACAAATTGATCTCTCTCTCTCTCTCTCTCTCTCTCTCTCTCTCTCTCTCTCTCTCTTCTTTCTGTTTCTCTCTCTTTCTCTCTCTTCTTCGTCCCCTCCCCTTCCTCTGTCTCTCTAAAATCAATGAATAAAAAACATTTAAAAAAAGAAAATGTAAAGCAATGTTCTAGAAGTAGTTATGAATGCTAGCTAGTCCTTATTTTTATAAAATGCATATACTTAAAAGCATATTTTCAAGGGAAACTTTACAAAGCTCATTATTCAGCAGTGATTTATAGATCTCTCACTAAGAATTCATTCTTTCCCCTAACTGTGATATGGAAAACCAAATGCTTTTTAGGGGAGGTAGTGATTAACATCTGTATTCTTAAAGGGGATAATAACTTTCCAGAAAGCTTTGTTATGCTTATATGAGATCATTTATTCCCATTTACAGATGAAGTTCCAACACACAGGAAGGTTAAATAACTTGTCCACATTACTCAACTTTTAAGTGGCAGCCAGGATTCTAACCTAAGCAATTTGATTCCCAAGGTCATACTCTTATTGGATGCTATTTCACTTACATATAATAAGGTATTGTAGAGATTTTTCTGGCAAACCAGGATCTTCTTTAAAGACAGAAATTGGCCTTGGTATTGACTTAAATTTGATCATTCTTTTCAGAGTACACTTAGAAAGGTCAGATTACAAAGTGGGTCCCAGTTATCTGAGGGGTGAACATTCTAAGACACCCTTCCCCCCCCCCACCAGTGGATACCTGAAACTGTAGTTAGTACTGAACCCTATATATACTATGTTTTTTCCCTATACATGCATACCTGGGATTAAGTTTAATTTATAAATAAGGCACAGTAAGAGTAAAAGCAATGATTAATGATAAAGTAGAATAATTACAGCAATATACTGTAGTAAAAGTTATGTAAATGTGGCGTGTGTGTGTGTGTGTGTGTGTGTGTGTGTGTATCTGATAACTAAGATAGCTACTAAGTGACTCTGTACTCTGGAGCCTGTACAGCTGGTTGGACAAAGGGATAATTCACATCTGGGTGGGATGGAGCGGGATATTTTTACCACACTACTCAGAACAACATATAATTTAAAACTTATGAATTGTTTATTTTTAGAATTTTCCATTTAATATATTCAGACTCTGGTTGACTGCAAGTAACTGAAACTCAGAAAGAGAAATTACAGATAATGGGGGACTACTGTATGGGAAGTTTTTCTTCTCATTCACAGAACACAAGGCGTTAGTTTCTTAGATAGCAGGAAACTCTTGAGGGTTGCTATATAATATATGAGGCACACCAGATTTTCAAGAACAAGTTTGTTGCCCATATAATTCACAGAAAAGCAAAAAGCCTTTCAGGAGAATTACTTTTAGCAAGTCACAGAGCCTGTGTGAACCTAGAAAGGTCTTGAAGAATAGGTAAAGAGTCTACAATGCAAAGAGCATAGGAGCTAAACAGATATGGTAAATGCGTGCTGCAGGCTGGGAATAAGGCTTGGGGACTGGTGTGTGCAAGCCACGGGGCAGCAACAGGCACCCAGCTCCAGCGAGATCATCCTGACTTCTTTTTCCACAGATGTTTATGGGAAATTTTGCCAGTTGGTAAAATACTGGGTGGAATAAGCTAAATATTTCTGTAGACTAATGACTCATATGATTAAAAATCACATATTTACAACCTTTTATTTTTACCAGTGCAGGAAGAGTGCAGATAGATACTGATCATTGGGAAGGATGTTTTAAGTACAGGGAAGAGCATGAGTGAAGGCATAGTCACTGCAAAAAAAAAAAAAAAAAAAAAAAAAAAAACTTGTCAGGAATGGTCTGCCTGGAGGGAAGAAGGAAGAATGGGCTTGGACAGGAGTAGTGGAAGAGTGAAGTGAGATCAGGTCCTAGGCCTACAAGGCCAGCTTCAAATAAGAGCTTGATTTGGTGTGCAGAATTTTATTTGGGAATATCTTGATCAATATGGTAGCAGTGTGCAACACAGTGGGGAGGAAAGGGAGAATTGGGGCAAGCAGACCAAGTTACCTATTGACATAGAAAAAAGATGGACATGGCCAGGATCAAAGTGGCATCCATAAGTATCCCCAAGTGCAGAATTACTGTGACAGAGGGTACATTATGGGGGCAAAGAAAAGTGGACAAAGACAAAAATAATAATGCTGGAATTCTTAACAACTGGGATCAGACATGATTCTCAGGAACTTCTCTTAACAGACAGGCAACTAATTTTTGTAGGGCCTTTGCTTACAGATTGTCCAGCATGCATCGGATGGTATATGTATAATATTTGCAATTGGAGAAACAAATAATTTGTGTAGGGACAGTCCGTTCTTAAGAATATTGAACTTTTGTTCAAGATTGTGCTTCAGCCAGTATCTTATGAAAGAAGTAAGCTTTAGAATTAAAGAGTTTATGGATCTGAGAATCAGGCCCCATTTTTAGAAATGAGGAAAACCGGGGGTTCTAGAAGTTGTGAGTTGTTTCAGGGAGTAGAACTTAAAGTCTTCTGCTTCCAGGCTTTGCTCTTTATCATGCAACTTCATGGAGCTAGATCATAAAGCATAAGGCCAAATTGAGTGCCTACAGTAGCTACACTAATTTACAATGAATTCCTTTCTTGACTAATCCTCAAATCCCCTCCTAACTATAAATTTTTTCTCAGCATATTTTTTCAAAATCACATATTTTTTCATTATTTCTTTATTTTAATCTTCTTTGAGACATCTCCTCCAGGGCTCTTTGACCAGCTTCAATGTGGATTGGTTGATCTCAAGCCCAGAGCTTCACTGTCATCCTAAAGTCCCCTCACATCATCCAGGCTTTTCCTTTGCCACCTTCTTTGGCTAATCCTCTTGTTTTCTGATCTCATTTTTGCCTAGTTCTTGGTCCAGGCCTTTGTTTTAGTGGAGCATGTCCTCCAGTTGCTCTATGAGAAAGGGTTCTGGAAAGGAATTTTTTGAGACCTTATATATCTAAAATCTCTATATTCAACCCTTGCAATGTGATTGCTAATTTATCTGGATATGGAATTCTGACCTGACGATCACATTTTCTCAGAACAATGGAGATAATGCCTTATTGTTTAGTTTTTTTGTCTTAAAAGAATTATTGTTGATTTGAGAGAATGAGAAAAACATTTATTTGTTGTTCTACTTATTTATGCATTCATTGGTTGATTTTTGTCTGTACCCTGACCTAGGGATTGAACCTGCAACATTGGCATATCAGAACAGCACTCCAACCAACTGTGATACCCAACTAACGCTTCAGTCTTCTTGTTGAAAAATCTACTGTCATTCTGATTATTGAGTCTTTCTACGAAACCTAATTTTCCTTTCTAGAAACTTTTGAGATATCTTTTGTTATATTTTCTCTGTCTCCAATTTATAGTGATTTATACCATGTTGCATGATTTTCATTCATTGTGCTGAGTACTCAGTGGGTTCTTTCAATCTGGAAATTCATGCCCCTCTATTCAAGTAAATATTGTCTAGTTATTTCTTTGACTTCATTTCTTTTTTTCTATTTATGAAATTCCCATTACTCAGCTCTTAAACTTCCTCTTGATTTACTTTCTTTCCTATTTTCTATCTGTGTTATTTTGTTCTTTAGTCTTCCTCCACTTCCTTAATTTTTCTTCCAATCTTCCTATTCAGATTTTTATTTCTAAAAGCTCCTTTTAGTCTCTGATTTTTTTAAAATAGTATTTTGTCTTATCCTTCTAAGGATATTAATGATACGTTTGTTTTTTAAGCCTTCTCTTGAATTGTGTTTGTCTCTAGCTGCTCTTTTTAGGTTGTTCTTGCCTCTGTGTTTCATACTAGAGAACTTGCTCAAATGTCTAGTGACCTTGGCTGTGTGCTAAATACCAGCTGGTAGCTCTAAACACTGGACTTCATTCTAGGATAATCTGGCAGAGCTTTTTTTCTGGATGAACAACCAGTGGCAGTTGTTCTTTGTTCTTGAGCCAATCAGACTCCCTGGAAACCGCTTCCCATCTCCTTCCTGAAGAAGAAAACTCCTATCTGGAAGCGTTCGGGCAACTATGTGGTGAAGAAAGGGGGACTCTTCTCATTCAATGTGTAAACTTTCACCTTGGTCACCTCTTTTTCACCTGTCCTGATCTATTATATTCTTCCTAGAGACCAGATCTCAGACTTCTACCAGAAGGAAGGAGAGGGAGAAGTGGTAAAAGGGATTGAGTCTCTAAACTGAAATAGCCTTTTAACTAGTTCTTGTATTTTTAGTCCCATCTACTTCCCCATATTCAGAAATACCCATGCTCCCAATTCCTGAGCTGTTTGGGCGGGGAGAGGGAGTTTCACAATATAAATCACTTTATTTCTTGGCTATCTCCATGTATGAATGAATATTTAGCTTTCTTTCTCCTGCAAAGCTATTCATCTATAGTTAATGACAAGCAACTCAGGTTTGAACTGAATGGGTCCATGTATACCCAGATTTAAAAAAAAAAATAAATACCCGTAATGTTTTCAATTCGAGGTTGGAGGTCCAAGGATGTGGAGTGCTGATTGTATGCTTTGATGAATGCTATTTTATAAAGGGGAGTGGGGGACTAGAGCATCCTCAGATTTTCATATACATACGGGGGCCTGGAACCAATTTCCCCTTGATACTTAGGGACAACTTAAGTTTTGAGAGAGTCAAAAGTTAAATGTGGATTTTTGACTATAGGATGTGGGAGTTGGCACCCCTAATGCCCATGTTGTTCAAGAGTCAACTGTACATTCAAGCTTTTAAGTTTTTGTTAATGTTTTCTCTTTCTTTTTTTAATATATTTTATTAAATATATTAAATATATTGATTAAATATATTTATTAAATATATTAAATATTAAATATTGATTTTTTACAGAGAAGAAGGGAGAGAAATAGAGAGTTAGAAACATAGATGAGGGAGAGTCATCGATCAGCTGCCTCTTGCACGCCCCCTACTGGGGGTGTGCCCGCAACCAAGGTACCTGCCCTTGACTGGAGTCGAACCCTGGACCCTTCAGTCCTCAGGCTGATGCTCTATCCACTGAGCCAAACCGGTTTCGGCAATGTTTTCTCTTTTTCTATGTATTTTTATGCCTTTTTTAGTCTTTTACTGACATTGTAGGATGTTTACAGGAAATAAGAGAGTGCATGTGTCTTATTATCTTTAACAAGAAATTCCATTCCTAATGTACCCAATTGATTTATAATCTTAGGTGATTGACAAAATTTTTACTTACAGCAATTCTCTAAAACTCTTCATCTGTTCTTCTTGGTTGTTGTTTAGATTCCATTGGCTTACATCGAGTAGAAAATATTAGCCATACGGAACCTGCCGTGAGCCTTCACTTGTACAGCCCACCTTTTGATACATGCCACGCCTTTGATCAAAGAACAGGATACAAAAACAAAGTCACCATGACATTCTATAGCAAATTTGGAATCAGGACCCCATTTGTAAGTATAATTTCTCTCCTTAATTTAGTGTTTTGTGGGTTGGTAACATTACACTGTATTAATTGCTTTTCTTTTTTTGTTCTAGATATTACTTAAATATTTTAACTATTCTCAAAGTTTAAATCTACTTTAACTTAGGGGAAAGGCTCCTTATAAACTAATTCATTAACTTTGGAGATTATATTTTCAATTTATAAATAAATTAAATTATATGCAAAGATTTACCAAGTTCCAGAGTATGCTCATTTCTAAGAAAATGTTTTCATTTATCAGAGAAATAAGAGTGCAATATATTTGATATAACTTCAGCTGTGACTTATTATTAATCTGTCTAATTTGCTAGGACAACACAAATAACTTGCAGAGTTAACCTTTCCAAAGTTTGAGACCTTATTCCGATTACAGAAATAAAGAAACATGCCTATTTTGATTGCCAAATTACTTTTTCTTTCAGTAGTGCTGCTATTCAGACCACAAATAAACGACAGTAGACAATCATGTAGACTAGACTTGAGGAACAGGTGCTTCCACCTAAAATAGGAAGGCAACCAATGGTAATATGTTGTGGCAGTCTTCTACCTCTGGTGAAATAAGTGGGCTATTTAGAGGACTGTAGAGATTGAAAATAATTCTCATGAATCTTACAGAAGTGCAGCCGTTGAGAAAAGCCAGAGCAGAATTTCCTCAAGTGATCGCCCTGCTTTGTTTTCAGCATTCTGATTCCCAAGAGCTACTCTTAAGACAGGAACAAAACAATAGGGCTCCATTGCATAGCTGAGTTTCCATACACTGATAAGAAAGCAGGACTACTTAGAACAAGCTGAAATGTCTGGAATGAAGATTCTTACACAGCTTTCTTTTTTTTTCTCCTTCTTACAGGCAACTACAGGATCACTGGAGAACAACTAAGGAGCACCCAGCCCTCTATGAGCTGTGCAAAGTTTTGCCTTCAATGGGAGGGCCTCCCACCATTTGCTGTTCACTTTACAAAGCCAATACTTAGGTCTCCTGTAAGGCAGATGCTAATTATAAGGCATGAAGGAAGCAAATAGTGCCCTAAGCAACTACAGAAGAAAAATCTCACTAAAGAAAAAAGAAAAGAAAAAAAAAGGCTTGTGATTTTTAAAGGCCAAATCAAGTACTCTCCTGGTCTTATTCTTTAAATAAGGGGTGGGAACCTTTTTTTCTGCCAAGGGCCATTTAGATATTTATAACATCATTCTCTGGCCATACAAATATCAATTTAAAAATTAGACTGCTATATTTGGTCAAACATTTAATTAATCCACCTCTACTGCCTTGGCAGGGCTAGACCAAATGATTTTGCAGGCCTTACACGGCCCTCTGACCAACGTTTCCCACCCCTGTTCTAAATCTATTGGAACCATACTGGGAATGTCAGTGAAGGGTTTTATAGCTTTTGGGAGCACTTTGGTCTCTGAACTATAATTAGCAATATATAAAAACTATAGATATCAAATGCCTGCCTTGTGACTTGGATAACTAAATGTAGATGTCTTTAGTATACTTTGTATGTTCTTAATATTTGAAGAGAATTTTTGGAATCTGTGGATTTTATTTTTACAATCATATTTTACAAATTCCTGTTCTATAAACAGTAGGTTTTGTAGATAGAGAAACTTAAAGTACTTTGACATTTGGTAATGAAATGAAGGGCAAAGGATTTAGAAAAGTAGATGTATTCAAACCCACAACAAACCAAAAACATAAACCCATGTCTGGTATGTCCAGTGGTCATAGTGAAAGACTTTGTATTAGTTTCAAAATCTAATAAAACTGGATTTGAATACATTTGAAGTTATCTTCTATTTAATTTCATAAAATTCATAGTTTCTTAGATTTGGGTAAACTACCAAAAGCAGTGCAAAGTATGATTTTTATGATGTAAGACTATGAGAGGGCCCACAAAAATGCATTAAAAAATAGCTTACCTTGCCATAGCCTGTTTGGCTTAGTGGATAGAGCGCCGGCCCTCAAACTGAAGGATCTCAAGTTCAATTACTGGTCAAGGGCATGAACTTTGGTTGTAGGCTGGATCCCTGGCCCCGTCAATGTGCATGTGGGAGGCAACCAATGGACGTGTCTCTCTCACATTGATGTGTGTCTCTCTGTCTCTCTCCTGGGTGATAATAAACAAACAAAAAGTAGCTTACTTTTTTGGGCTTTACACGTGTTCACTAATTGGCTAGAGATACTAACCTGAGGGACTAAATGTAGATCTAACCAGAATTTTGCCTAAAAATTGTGTGCAGGGTCTATAAAGGCATACCTTGTTTTATTGTACTTTGCTTTATTGCACCACACAGATGATGCATCTTTTACAAATTGAATGCAAGGTCCTCCACCGGCAAAAAGATTACAATTTGCTTTATATCGGTAGTCTGGGACCAAACCTGTAATAAGGTATGCTTGTCTGATTAAAAGTGAATTGTTTTCCAATATGCAAACACTGGGGATTTCATAGCAGAAAAAGATATGGATTTCTGCTTCTTGAAAATTTGATGTATCTCAGAATCATCAAATGACATGCATTGCATTTGCTTTGCCATCAGTCAGCTAGGCTAAGTATGTCCCTTAAGTGGGGCCACTATTCCAATCTGCAGCAGCATCCAACTTGCCTATTTCCCTTATGTATGTTACCAGCAAAGCCCACATATGTATTTGAGTCTGCTACCCCTACTTTAGGCAATTTTCTTAGGACTATCTATCATAAACTTGGAATTTTATTATCTCTAGAAACTGAATAAAGTCCTTTGAAGATAGTTCTACATAAGTCATTGGTTGCATTTATAACATCTTGGAATTGTTTACCTCTTTACATATTTTTTTCTAATGAAACAAACCTCCTTATAAATTAGGTACTATAAAGATTTTCTACTGCTGTTGTAGCATTGTCACAAACTTAGTGGCTTAAAGCAATCCAAATTTTATTTTCCTACTGTTCATATCTCAGAAGTCAAGCAGCTTTACTGCACTAAAATCAAGACATCAGTAGGGCTGTTTATTTCTGTAAGTTCTCAATAGATAGGATCTATTTTACTGGATTTTCCTTCTAGATACTGCTGTGGCTTGGTAATCCTTTCCTCCATCTTCAAATCCAGCCCTGGCAGCCTTAGTTTTCCTCTCTCTTAGCACTCTGACCTATTCTCTTTCTCTTGTACGTTGAAGGACTCAAGTGATTAGTAACATCTCCATCTCTAGGTTATATCCTTAGGATGTAATCTATCTGTAAAGTCTCTTTTGCCATGTAGTCCTAGGTTCTGGGGATTCGAATGAGGACCTCTGAGAGGTCACCCTGCCTACCACCATTTGCCCACTTGCTCCAAATGAGCCATGCCTGTCCCATATGCAAAGTAGGCTCACCCCATCCCTAAGTCCTCAAAGTCTCATCCCATCACAACGTCAACTAAAATTCCAAATATCTAAATTATATCTCATCATTTAAATTCAGTGTGGGTAAGGCTTAATTACATAATCCATCCTGAACACAATTATTCTCCATACTTACACCTGTTCAACATAGTTTAAAAACCTGCCCAAAGTTATCCAGCCAGGAAATCACAGAGCTAGAATTTTATTCCAAGCCACCTTCCTTTAAAACTCATTCTCTTTATACTCAAACCTTTCAAAGTAAGAGTAACCTAGGCCACTTCCAATTTTTGTTTCCTATTTTTAAACAATGATATTATGGTATATTTATATGTTTTGTATGTGAGGTATATTTAAATGTTTCATATATTGCACCTTTAACACACACATGTGGTCATAACCCTATGTGCGACAAGTAATGGCCAAATCTGACTTGAGGATCCTTGTGCCTGTGAGTTCAACCTCAATGGCTGCACTGGTGGTCCTGGCTGTCCTACCCACCTTGACCTCACAACTAGCCCTGTTCTCTGCTGCCCATGACAGTCTTCACAGAAAAGCAGGCATCCTTCTCCTCGAGGAGCTCAGCACATGCTTGGGTTGATGAAATGTAGGCACATGTAGGGCAAGGCAGTGGAGCCATCAAGGGCTCAAAGGGGTACTGTAGGAGGGAGAAGGAGCATTGAGGGCTAGAATCACACTTGTTGCTGAAGGTGATTGGATGTAAAAGAGGAGGATAAAGAGCTGAGTCTAGGCTAGTAGGAATGATCCCCGTGTGAGGAAACAGTGAAGGGTGGTGGTGAGCCCTTAGCACTCAGGACCTCCCATTTTACTTATAGCTCAAGCTTCAACACTTCTGTTCCCTCTGCCTGGCATGCCCATATTTGACACAAAGGGGGTATGCAATGGATATTTATGAAATGAAGGTAAAAACCCTCAGTATCCTTACATAAGCATTGTATTAACAAACCCTTGATGCTATGTTCTCTTCTACATACTACCAAATTGTGTGCCAAGTTATTTTTATTAAGTATAGGAATTCTATACTTAGATTTTTCAGTCAAAGACTTATTTCTTCTGTGGCCTACGTCAGAGGCTTATTGTTTGGTGTGGGTCCATTAATCATATACGTAGACAAACTAGTTGATGATTTGGGCTTTTATGTGTATTTCATAGGGAGGCGCAGCATTAATTATTCCATTTAGCAATGGTAGTTAGCCATTTTTTTCCTGACTAACAATCTCTGAATGCTAAAGAATGTCTCTCCAAAAGACTAGCATACAACAAATGTGCATACAGCTTCAGAAGAGATTTCTGGACTCTTTGAAATCCTCTAGGGGCCCCATTTAAGGAACCCTATCCTATGTGAGTCAAGATGTATGGAAAGTAGCTGGTGGCTATTTCACTTCATTTTCTTTTCTTTTTCTTTTTTAATATATTTTATTGATTTTTTACAGAGAGGAAGGGAGAGAGATAGAGAGCTAGAAACGTCAATGAGAGAGGAACATCGACCAACTGCCTCCTGCACACCCCCAACCGGGGATGTGCCCACAACCAATGTACATGCCCTTGACCGGAATCGAACCTGACGCTCTACCACTGAGCCAAACCGGTTTCGGCTTCACTTCATTTTCTGAAATAGGAAATAACATTAACAAGCTGGGCAACTAGTTAATCTTTTAAATGTTACAACAGGGTTTCTAGGAAAAGCCAGAAACCATTGCTACTTTGTCCAAGGCACGTCCACACATTGCACAAGATCTGTTTTCTGTCTTTCTAAAAGCATTTCAGGGGAAAAAAATGTTTCATAATATTATTTATCCATTTAGTAGATGCTTTAAAAAAAAGTGTTATGTGGAATAGTGAAATAAGGCAGATACAGAGGACAAATATTATATGATTCCACTTATACGAGGTACCTAGAATAGTCAGATTCATAGACACAAAAAGTAGACAGAAAGTGATTACTGACTGGGGCAGGGGGAGGAGTTTTTGTTTAATGGCTACAGAGTTTCTTTTGGAGATGATTAAAATAATTTGGGTATAGATAGTTATAATGGGCCCACAGCATTGTGAATGTATTTGATACACCAGATTGTACATTTATGAATGGTTAAAATGATAAATATGTTATATATATATTTTTCCCACCATAAAAAGGTCCATGTGGGAGAAAGTGTACCTATGACATGTGGGTGGATTGTGTTGGAATAGGTAAGACCTAGCATAGAAAATTGAATAGGTAAGAAGGCCTCTGGTGAAAAGTTCCCTCTCCTCCGGCTCTCAGTTTCCCTCTCTAGAGGAAACCTGTATTACCAGTTTCTTGTGTTTCCTCGTTTATCTTTCCCATTGTTTCTACAAAGTGTAGCATCCTAAACTCCATGCTTATAAGGAGACCTTTCCATAGCAGAATACAAACAGTTTTTGCATTCTTTTGTACCGTTGGCTGCACAGTATGAACGTACCATAGTTGAGTTCGTCAGTCCTCTACTGATGGACTTTGATGTGATTTCCAGCCTTTC